TGCTATGGTTGTGTAGTTTGGTGTTCTTGTGGGACGTTGGGAGTGGGGGCTGTCTCTGACTCCTTTGCCTGCTTTTGGGACCCTTTTCCTCCTACTGGGTTGCCTTGTCCAGCCTTAGTATGAGGATGTGTACCCAGTCTTGTTGTAACTGGTTATGCCATTGTTTGATTGATATCCCAGGGATACCTGCCCTTTTCTGAAGGGAAACAGGAAGAGTGGATCTGAGGGAGAGAGGAAGGGTGGGGAGGGGCAGTCCTGGGAGGAGAGGAGGGAGGGGAAACTGTGATTGGGTTGTAATGTATGAGAAAAGATTTTTTTAAAAAATGACACAAAAAGGCTTGGCTCTTACTTATGGTTCATCTTGACCAGTTTTTAAGATAAACCACTGGTGATCATATTGGTTTCCTGTTGATGCTACAATTAATTACAAGGTTGTCACTCCTAAGTTATGTTGCACTTCTGGAGGGCAGACACCTAAATGAGTCCATGGTGCTGAATTCCTGGTGACTCTGAGGCTAAAAGAAAAATCTCATTCCATTCTGAAGCCCCTGCCCCTGTGTTCCTGGGCTTCTTTGTCACCAGACCCCAGCACTCCTGGTCTCCTGGTCTCCTGGTCTCCTGGTCTCCTGGTCTCCTGGTCTCCTGGTTTCCTGGTCTCCTGGTCTCCTGGGCTCCTGGGCTCCTGGGCTCCTGGGCTCCTGGGCTCCCCGGCTCTTGGCTCTTGGGATCCTGTGTTCCTGGCTTCCAGAACTCTTGGCTTCTCAGCTCCGAGCTCCCTCCAACTTCCAGGCCAATGGGAGAAGAGCTGTGTTCCTCCTGGACCTCTGTTTTGGTCCTCACTCTCTATCCACCCTTTGTGTCCTCTCAGAGTGGCTGTGATTACATCAGGCTACCTAGATAACTCAGGAAAATGTCCTCATTCAGAAAGCCTTAACTTACACCTCCCAAGTCACATGAGATGGTGTATTTATAGGGCTGGGAAGCTAGTCCCAACTTCCATGCTCTGTTCTGGATCTGGAGAAATAGGAAAATGTCTTACTTCCCTCATTGCTACAACAAAATACCTAGAAAAAGCAACATAAGGGAAGTATTTTGCCTCACATTTCTGAGGTCATGGTGGGAAAGCCATGGGAGCAGGAAGAGGAGGCTGGTCATGTTGAACCTGCAGTCAGGAAGCAGGGGCAGACAAATGCTAATTTTCAGTTTTCCTTCCAGGAGCTCAGCCCATGGGATGACTTCTTCCATTTCAATATAAAAACTCTCTTAAAGACAAACCCCGACGATTGTCTCCTAGGCGTCTAGATCCTGACAGACAATGTTAACCATTCGCAGGAGGAACTAGACTTTTCCAGTTATTCATTCCTGTGGGTGTACACCACCCATGAAGCAGTCTCCAGGCTCCTCCTCCCCAGTCTCCAGGGCAGCTCTGCTCCTCTGTTGCCATGGTACTCTACCCTGCAGGTACCCCTCATCTTTGCTCAAAGTACCCCCAATCTGTGTCTCACAGCCCAGCACGTTTGCCAGGCAGGGTTCACGGTGGTGGTGTTCCTCAGTCTTCGTGCGTGTCGGTACCCTGAAGCAAATCTGAACAGATGAAAACTCATTCTTATTCTCCTTCCTTGAGTTTCTTGAAGGTGACCATCCACTGCTTTTACAGGACAGTCGAGAAATGCTAGAGACGCCATGGCAACTGTCAGTCACTTTTCCTGTTGGTGTGACAAAATGCTCTGACAAAATCAGCTTAAAGGGGGAAGAGGATTACTCCGTCTCCTGTTTCAAGGTTACAGTCGATCATGACAGAGAAATCAAGGAAGTGGGATCTGGAAGGCACTGGGCCCCGCTGCGTCATGGTCAAGCAGCAGAGACTGATGCCTGTGTGTGAGTCCTGAGTCAGTTCCTCCAGCTCACTCAGCCCAGGACCTCCTGTGCATGACGAAGGCAGGTCTGCCCACATCAGTTAACATGACTGAGACAATCCTCCAGAGGCAAGCCCCAAGGCCGTCTCCCACGGGATTCCAGACTCTGTCCAGTTGACAATAAGTACTTCATAGCACAACCATCTATTTACTTCCCCATCCCAATGCCTTTTGCTCAGGTCTTTGTACCATGGCTCTAGATTGCCAACACATTTTTGTTATGTTATGTCTTAGGGTTTTCCATTCTGTATTAGCCGTTCCGTATGCACAGCTCAACCTTTAAACACGTGTGTTCAGATCTTTAGGAAAAAGATATTGTTTTAGGAGAGCTTTCCTGTCACAGAGTTTGATGTCATCGTTTCTTTGCTGGTATTGTCTTCCTCCCTCCTTCCCTTCCCCTCCCCTCCTGCCCTCCCACCCTCGCTTTCTCCCATTCTTTCCCTCTCTTCTTTGCTTGCTTGCTTGCTTCCTTTCTTCCTTCCTCCCTCTCTTTCTTCAACATCTACATCTTCTTTCATCTTCTGCTCCATTCATTTCTGCCTTGTTCATGTTTATTCTGTGCTTCCATACACCTTGTGTTCTGCTTAATTTTTTGTTCATTTTAATTCAGTGCTAAATCTCAAGAAGTCTCAAGGAATATTTCTTCTTGTTCCAACTCTTTTGATTTTAGCATCTAATTTCCAGGTTTTGGTTTTGGTAACCCCTTTCATTCCCCCAATTCTAGTCCATTTTCCATCAGTTTACATCACTTTCCTTCTATTTTACACTTAATAGTGAAACAGTGGATTGTATTTTCATGGGCTCACATAGGCTGTATTTCCTAGCACATATTTATTGTCTGTTAAAATATGACTTTGCTGTCTTTTTATTTTCTTTGTGAGCTCTGGCCTGGAATTCAGTGTCTTTGCATTGTGTGTCCTCATGTGAAATTGGCTTGCTCACTCTTTTGGAATGTGTGAGGCAGGAATCTTCCTCGTCTATGGCAGAGTTCCTTACCTGCCACCTTACAAGTTCAGGAGAGGGATCTTCATCCTGAAGTCAAAGTTCACCTGCTGTCTCTGCTAGCATCCAAGTGTAAGGCAATAACTTTCCAGAATCCCTTGGTTTCCTAATCAACTTTATCTGGATTTTGTCTTTATTTTTTCCATCTTTGATGACTGACTAAATCAGCTCTTGTCTTCAGAAATTCCTCCTCAGTATTGTGTTTATCCTAAAACACCACTTGATTGCACGGTTTGAAAGACCATGACTCTAGCTTGAAAGTACTTGAAATACTACGTAGAACACACACACACACACATACACACACACACACACACACACACACACACACACACACACACACTACCACTCCAAACACCGCTTCCAATGCCCTGCTGTGATGTCCGATAAGTTCTCCCTGGCTAATTTGTCTGTCTTATGTTTAGCCATGCCCTCTGCTCCTGCCAGAGAGAGTCACAGCTCCACCTGGACACCACTGCAGTTATCTTCTGAGTGAACTCTGCCCACTGTTGAGTTCCTGCTGGGACTTGGCTGCTGAGTTTTTCTATAGCTATTGTTAATAGCGTTTTTTTCTTTTACTATTTCAAAACTCCCATTTGCTCTTTCAGTTCTGTACTAATGGATTTGAAAAGATTTAAAACCACAAAATAAGGCTGCCTCCTAGGCTATCTTCCAGAAAATATATAAAGCATGCAGATTATACTCTGTGGAGGAAGGACCAGCCTTGGGATGTTTCCAGAGAGATGTGCAATGATACAGCATCTACACTTCTGTCGCTGCGCTGTTAGCCACTGTGTGGAAAACAGATGTTCCAGTTGTGAAGCACAAGGGCAGAAGCTGCAACAACAGGAGTGAGCAGGCTTGGGTGTGATCAATTCTGAGGGAGTTTGTCAGAGCTACGGAAGGGTGTGAACAAAATGAAGGCATCATCTATGACTGATGGAATCTACAGAGGGTGTGAACAAAACAAAGGCATTGTCCATGACTGCTGAAATGAAGCCACCACTTTCTGAGTAGGAAATATGGAAAATAATGGATCAGGTAAATCAGTAGGCACAGCTCCACTTAAGGTGTGTTTTGTACAAGAATTAAACCAAGCACCAAGAGGAACTTTAAAAGGGAAACCTGGCAGAATTTGTGGCTCAGGTGACAGGTAGGGGTGGAAACAGAGTTATAAGCCACGTTAAAGAATGTGATTGGATAAACCATGAACCAGTCACAGAGTCCCAATCTCAGCAAAGGCAAGCATACTTACAAAAAGACAGGTAAAAAGAAATGTGCCGTCATGTAAATAGTAGGGAATTGGAATTATTTGTTTCCTGGAAACCACGTAAAAGTTTGACTTTTGTGTGTTCAGACAGGAAGTGAGATGTGCCTGACCTAAGCTAGTGAGGGCCCTCAGGAAACAAGTTGGTACTGTCACAGTACCAAAGGAGATGTGGTACTAGACAAAACTCAGGTCCTGACATCCTTGGGAGTACACGTCAGGGGTCAACTACACATTTCCAAACAGATCCCCCCTCCCATATAAAAGTTGATAGGAGTGGAAACATTACATTGATTAAGCAAGTGGGGGGGGTCACCATCACTCTGAACAAACTCCACATAGGACGTAGGACAGAGTCAAGCATGTTTACTGAGAGGCTGTGCAGGCTAAGGGGGCCTAGGTAGCTAGGGTGACTTGATGGGAGCTGTCGAGGGTGTTGGGATCATGCTGCCTTTGATGACCTCTGTAGAACTCTGCTCGGTCTATCGTCCAGCATCCAAGATCTCAAGGAACCAAGAGAGCTGGTACATCTGGATCCTGAGTCTTAAGGGCTCCCATCTCAGGCCTGCCCCAGGGGCAAGTCTTAGGTAGGTGTGGCAATTACCAGGAGCCTCATTAGGGGTAGTGCTTCCAGGCCAAAGCTGGAACAGCTAATCAGCACAGTTCCTGGGCAAGTTATAGGGGCTTTCTCTTGAAAACTCTTACATTATTGTGTTATCACTGCTCATACCTAGCATCTCAAGTCATTCTCCTCATCCCCCAGAGAGTAACCTGGTCTTTAACTAACAACAAAGTTCCAGAGATGGAGTTGAGTTCCCTTAATAGCTATTTGAACTCACTGTTTGAAACGTGTTCAACACAACAGAAGGCTGTGCATACTTGGCACCAGACAAGTGTTTGCCACAGTCCTTCCCCAAAATGCCCTGGTGGAGGGTACAAGCCACCAAATCACCCCCAGGTATAGGTCCACAGAAATGAGTCTCTCTCTCTCTCTCTCTCTCTCTCTCTCTCTCTCTCTCTCTCTCTCTCCTCTCTCTCTCTCTCTCTCCCCCTTCCTTTCCTCACTCCTTCTCTCTCCCCTACATTCAAGATACATTAAAATAAAAGCCATGTTTCACATTGCACAGCAATAAGATGTAAAGGACCCCAGTGTCTTCAAATCAAGGCTTTCCAACTTCAAAGAACAGATGCAGCTCAGTGGCTAACTGCTTGGCTCCTTAGCTAACAGAAAAATGAAACAGACCAGCACCAGGGAAGGGGGCCATGCTTTCTGGGACCCGAGTCTCCCTCCTGTTGCTCTTCACTGAGTTTGCAGCCATGTCCCACCCCCCACTCCCCCACCCTGTCAAGCCTGGAGTCATGCTGTGAAGACAGCCAGCCCATCCTAAGCTGGGCTTGCTGTGAGTTTCCCTCTTTCCAACTCACCTTGACGTCTTAACAATGAGCCAGTTCTTTGCTCAAAGTTAGTGCTGTCTGTGTTGTCATTATATTTAAAAGAAGAAAAAAAAAACAGACAAACAGGGCAGAGGAGGTAGGTCAGTCTGTAAGTGCTCAGCTCAATTGGATGAGGACCTGAGGATGGGCTCCAGAATCATGCAAAAATTCTGGGCAAGCTGAAGGGCTTGAAATCTCAGCGGGGGGGGGGGGGGGGGGTTGGGAGCCCGCCAAGTCTAATTGGTGAGCTCCAGGTCAATGAGAGAACCAACCTCAAAGGAGGTAGGTGGCATTCCTACCTTTGACACCTGAGGATGTCCTCTGGTTTCTGTGAGCGCATATACACATGTGTACATGACCTTATTCCACACACATGCACATATATGTGAACACAGCATAGACACCCAAGCAAAAAATAGACAAAGGGATTCATGGCTAGTAGATAATATAAAGTACCTACCAAGTGTGCAAGGTTCCAAGTGTGCAAAGTACCTGCAAGTCTTGACAGTTCTTTCCCTACCCATAAATGGACCTCTGATCTCAGTTTAACCACGTCACCTACCTCTATATTTTCTATCCTGTCTCAGGCCCATTTTTTTTTCCACTTTAAGACTTAGATCTTTGTGGGAAGGATGTTGGGAAATTTAAAAATTAAATTTTAAGGATTCCATTCCCTATTTAGTGTACAGGAGAAATAACTAGATGCTATCTGGAAAGCCTGTGTAATCTTTTACACATTTAAATGAAAATCAAGGTCTCAGACAGCTCTTTAGTACCAGAATGGGAAATCCATTACAATGAACACAGCTCTCTTAAAAGCCAGATGCTCATTCCTAATCAACAATGGACACTTTGTCCTTTAAATTTTTTTGACAGATACCTAATGATACTATGTGGCTTTTGTTAGGTGTCTGGATGCATCAAACATTTAGTTTTATGGTCAGAGAAATATAAACTGTCCATCTTCCTTCATAGATGAACAAATGCAGTGGAAATACCCAGGAACTACTGGGCACTGGTCAAAACCAGGTGGGTGTGGTTGTAACTACTAACACAATTTCTGGAACAACCAACTGTGCCAGTCTCTGATGGGGCCCAGTGCAAGGTAGGCAGCCCTGAGCCTGACACACCAGGGCACAAGAGGGGCAACGTGAAACCTTTATTAGACTAACAGATATGGTGTGTACACAGACGTCAGCTAATCTGTTAGACTTAGCGGGGCATCCTCGGAACCTGGTTTACTGGGCAAATAGAGAATAATCCGTGTTTAACCTGTAAGTTACAGAACCAGTGTGTCTTATTTATATGAGGCTTGTCTTCTCTCTCCTTGACTTCTTTCTTTTGAAATGAAGGGAGGATTGAGGCTCTAAATGACTCATAAAGGGGGGATCATGTGAATTATCTATTTATTAATCACACAATGAGCTCCACTGGCCACCCACACCAGGGTCATTTGTAGCTGGGACCAGACAGTGTAGCAGATAACAGCTGCAGACACTTATTAATACAGTGTCGTGACTGGGACGCCATCACCAGCTGGAAAATGTTAATATGAATTATGGAATAAAATAAGTAGGCTGTTGGCACAGGAAAGACACAGGCAGGCTCTGGAAGGGCCCTTTTCACACTGACTTTGCAGCCAGCTTTGGCTGTGCTAAATTATGAATTTGGTCACCACCGACTTCTTCTCCTGTGTGTCTCCGAAGGGCAGATGACCCAAATGAATGCAAATCGAATTAGGTTTCCTCTCAGAGACTTTAATACCATAAATGAGAAACAGCATTCATCACAAATAACTAGGGATTGTATACTAAAGTGCTTGACGAAAATCAATATACCTTCAGCTGCTCTCGGCCTATAAATGTAAATGAGAACAGATATAAAGCTGATATGCACTAAAGAAAGGTTATTGAGGGAGCAACACATAACACTAAGAAATCAATTGAATAAACTTGAAAAATGATTCAGATAGAGTAGATATGAACATAGAAAATCAATCATATAATTTAAAGAATAAACAGCTTGAACCTCACAAATCTCCCGTATGGTTTTAGTGTGTAGGATTTTTAATTTAGCATTGATATAATGCCAAGCTATGAGAATCTGCAGATGGCGGCTGCAAGGAGGAAAAATCAATTCATTCTTGTTCTATGGTCTTAAGGGGTATTTGATATTTACAGCAGGGCCGCATGGATCTTGTATAAATTTACATTTTAAGAGATAAAGGGCTGCTGTATTTTGTCTTGTTATTGTTAATAGAAACTGTCTACTTTTATTCTGTCCACTTTCTGGGGAAGCGGAGCTGTCTGTGTGATGCTGGTGTCACGGGCAATTTTCAAGGCTTTATTTTCTCGAGACACAAAGTTTTGCTTTGTGTGTGTGTGTGTGTGTGCTTTTTTTCCCCCCCTACCACAAGGCAATTGAGGTGGCATAATTGCATCAGTGCTACAGAAATACAGACTGCAATTTGGGGAGAGAGAGAGGAAAAAAAAACAATTCCAGACAAGTTCATTTATATGTTGTGTGGAGGTTTGGAGGTTAAGAAAATGTGGCAGGGTACAAGTAAATGTATATGTAAATTTGAGAGACTTTCATCACACTTATAATCAGTTATTTGCCTTTTGGTTTCCAACTCACAGATTTGTCGCTAAGCAAAGCTGAAAAAAAATCAAGATTTGCCAAGGATCTCACAGATGCCAAGTTGGAATGTGTTCCCCAAACTTCAGATGGTTATAACGTTGATGCATGGGGTGCAGGTACCACTGAGCGCCAGCATCATTGAAGTGATTTGTGGCAGTTTATTTGCCTAATGGAAATGGATCCACCGTGTTGGAAGTGTCTCTCTCTCTCTCTCTCCCTGGCTCCCTCCTCATCAGTCACCTGCATTTCAGGGGAAGGGAAGGCTCAGGTTCTAACAGTGCCAACAGAGAGCACCTCAGGGCCCACAGACCACACCTCCAGCCCTGGTGAGCTCTTCTTGGTGAAAACCCCCAATCCGGTATTTTTCCTGTATGAGAGGAGGGCAAATTGATCATCGTCGATGCCATCCCAGTCACAGTTCACTGTTTCTAACTTGAGAAGCAAGTTTAGGGAGGAACACTGGGGCCTCTGGACAGCTCTGTGGCAGAGACTCTCTCCAGGACAAACTCTTGAAACAGGCTAAGGGTCAGATTTGAGAAAGTGAAAGACAAGCGCTCTGTGTCCCCTGTGAGAAGACAATGTCTCAGACGGTTAAGTCCATGTTATCCGTCACGCACACCATGCTCCTCGGTCGGTTATCTTCCAGTGAGCACAGCAACGCCCAGCAGTGTTTCAGGGCACTGAACACTACGCTGAATGTTCAGGGACATTTATTCTCTTACCCACAAAAACTCTTAGTTTTCCACCTAATTCTTAGAACCAATGTAGAAAAATGCATGCTTCCAGAGAGATGGCAAAGACACACCCTTCTACAAAGTTAGTTGTCAAGGGTGGGTCTTAACCTGGGCTTCAGTCACTGCTCTCAAAAGAAGACTGAGTCATGGGAGACCCAGGCACCGGGAACCATGCCAGATGGATGACAGGAGCTTCTAGGGTTTCCCTCTGCCTTACGCTCTGAGTCTTAGAGCTAAAAGCCAGCAAGCCAGAAGCGCTAGTGGGTGCAGAAGAAGCTTGGGCTAGAGGAACCAGAGGATTCGGATGGTGCTGCATGCAGGACAGCATGCTGTCTGTGCTGAGCACACGCCTCCTTCTCATCCCAGGCTGTGTGATTCTCCTGTCTGTCGTCTGTCACATCTATGCGGTGGGCATCTCAAGTCTGGGGCCTGCTAAGCTAAGATGAATCTAAATGAAGGTCATTTTTACTGCAAACTGAAGACCCTACTCAGGCCTAGGCAGCAGCCCAGAGCCCTGGGAAGCCTGGCAGCATTCTTTGTAAGCCAGTGTTGCCCGCTGGGGAGTGCCCTTCTTCAGTCTAGTCCTGCCTTGTGCTCCCAACACATGTAGAAAATGAAATTAAACAAAGGCTTGTTTCTAACTGAGATGATAAGGTAAGAATGGTATCTATCAGAGTTCTTTCTCTCTTAATAAGATGCTTTCATTTCCATTTCATATAGATTTAGTTCAAAACTGTGAGGAGACCTATTATTTGCCCATCTTCAAACCAAGTATGAACCCTTGATGTTTATGAGCATATCGTGCTTCTTATATTTTGTATAGTCAGAAACCATATATAGGGCTAGTGGGATGGCTTATTGAAAAATAAAGTACTAGGCACCAAGCCTGAGGACCTGGGTTCAATTGCTGGAACCTAAATAGTGGAAGGAGAGAACCAACTTCTGCAATTGTCCTCTGACACCCACACATTCATTGTGACACATGTACATGCTCCCCATGTACATGCAAAATTAATTAATTAAATAATTAATTAATTAACACATTACAAAAGAAATAATATATCTACATACATAAACACATGTATGTCACAAAGATTGGAAGTTTCAAGTATGGAATTCTTTTAAGTAGGTATTTTGATTTAAATATCTCATAGAATATAATTACATATATAGAAAAGGACATTATTGTGTGCATATGTTTGCATGATACAATCTGAAGAGATTGTAGTGGGCCCTGGATTTACATTATGTAATTTATTTTAAACAGTGCATTGAAGGAGAGGTTTCTATGTATTTTTCCTTTAAAATATTTCATAGTAGTCATATCTTAAAATCTATAAATAAACCAGAGGTTATATGTGTGTGCAGTTTTCATCTCCAGGAGATAAGTCTGAGGAAGGCAACTTCTAACACAAATATAAACTGTGTAGAGAGAAAAAGGCCCTTCATTTTATGATGCTTTTGAAACTATAACAATAGAGATATCATATTCATTAAGCCCCTGTTGGAAGCATCCTCTGTGTTGAGGTTTCTGCTGAGTTTCAGAATGATTACAATAATTCAATAAACCATGCATGGCCAGTGGCCCTTGGTCTGTGGAAGAGAGAGGTCTGTGTTAGCACAGAGTATGGAAAAAGGGAAAACAAAGATAAAGGCAGCAAGGTGATGGTGGATGGTGTGGAAGCATCACCAGACAGCATGTCTGGAATCCATCTAGCAGGGAAGCTTCGCAGGTGATAGAGCCTAGGAGGGAAGGCAGACGCTGGACAGGTGGGCAGGCAGGTGCTGGACAGGTGGGAAGGCAGATGCTGGGCAGGTAGGCAGGTAGATGCTGGACAGGTGGACAGACAGGTAAGGGATAGGGGGCAAGACAGGTTTTGGACAGGTGAGACAGTAGATGTTGAACAGGTGGGCATGCAGGTGCTGGACAGGTAGGCATGCAGGTGCTGGACGGGGCATGAGGGGCCTGGACAGGTGAGCATGCAGGGGCTGGATGGGGACATGCAGGTGCTGGACAAGTGGGAAGGCAGGTGCTTGACAAGTGGGAAGGCAGGTGCTGGACAGGTGGGCAGACAGGTGCTGGACAGGTGGGAAGGCAGGTGCTGGACAGGTGGGAAGGCAGGAGCTGGACAGGCAGGAAGGCAGGTGCTGGACAGGTGGGAAGGCAGGAGCTGGACAGGCAGGAAGGCAGGTGCTGGACAGGTGGGCATGCAGGTGCTGGACAGGTGGGAAGGCAGGTGTTGGACAGGTGGGAAGGCAGGTGTTGGACAGGTGGGAAGGCAGGTGCTGGACAGGGGGAAGGCAGGTGCTGGACAGGTGGGCATGCAGGTGCTGGACAAGTGGGCAGGCAGGTGCTGGACAGGTGGGCAGCAGGCAGTCAGGGCAAGGAGGACACTGCAGAAAGCAAGAACAGCAGACACAGAAGAGCCTGACATGCTCTAAGGGTTCCTTCTTGTCTGCTCCATCCTAAGGTAGAGTGGGACATGGACAGAGGCTGAGTGGACTGACTGGGTCAATGCAGTCAAGAGGGTCCAGGATGCCAGGCAGTCACTGAAACTCCACATGACTGCTAATGTCCTAAGGCCAGAGTCCTCTTCTCATGGTGTCAAACACCAATAGAACTTGCTTGGGATAGGAACAATGGCTGGCTTTTAGAGTTCTTGCCATTACCAAGGGCCTCGCAAGTCCACCAAGAAATGTGGGTGTCATACTTCAATAACCCTCACAGAACAAGTTCTTTATGACCAGAAAAATCACAGGTGATCTACTGAAAATAAGTTTGCCCTTGAAATCATAACTCATTTTCTTTAAAAATGATAAGAAAACTATATAATAGTAGCAGATACTAAGAGTAATGCATGCATTATGAAAGGCTATAACCTTTTAATAAAGTGAATAGGACACAGATTTCAACATTAGAAGTCTCATAACTGTGTCTAGTTCCTCCCTTGATCACAAAGATGTCTGGGTTCCATGTCTCTGTCTCTGTCAGTTTCCATCTCTGTGTATCTGTTCCCTTGTCTCTTGTCTCTGTCTTCATCTCTGCCTTTGTCTTTGTCTCTCTGTCTGTCTTTGTCAGGCTCTCTGTCTGTCTCTGTCTCTATCTCTCTTTCTCACACAAAAACAAACTGGGAAACAAAACACAAATTATCTTGGGTTGAGCCATTGGGCATATCTTTGCAAACTTAATCTCAGCCATACTAACCTATTTATCTGACACTAGGCAAAGGAATAAATGTTGCAACAGATCTGAATTTCTGCTCTTTCAATACGTTTAACTGAGAACCAAATTAGTAACAAATCAGCTGTAGTAAGTTCAGAATGGGAAAGGGGCAATCATGTCCCAGAGGGACAGTGAGATAATGTTCCGATTCAATAGCAGGCTTGTGAGTCCCCAACAGTAGGGGGAAGTCATAGTCTTGCAACGTATTTAGAAATACTACATTTGTTGTGTGCCCACTGTGCTCTGGACGTTGCCCTTTGGCTTACAACACAACCTCTACATCCTGAGAATCTCTGGCAGTCTCTCAGAAGTCGTGATGGTAGACGCCCCATCCCTCTTCTAGTTGGGATGGATTCTCAGCGGAGTGAGAAGCTACACATCGCCAGAAACAGGGATCAGGTGCTTCTGGGGGTCCAGCCTCACCCCTGCATTCTGTGATCTATTGGCAGCAAGCATGGACACTATCTCAGGATCCTGTGCTCCAGTTGAAGAAGGGTCAGGGGAACCTGAACTGATTTAGAAAACAGTAAATCATGATTTCTTCAAGAAGAGCTGGCCTTGGGTTGTCCCTCCATCCCTAGGAGATTACAACTTTGGAAGAACCAATCAAGGAAGAGAGGAGTCCAGAGTGGAGAGGGCCTCTAGGAACCTATACAAAGTTTAACCCAGAGCTCCAGGTAGACTCCCACCTCTGGGTTTCCTCCATCCCCTTGATGGGATCCTTCTGTCTGTCCTAATAAGGTTTGTAGGTTTTGTTCATTTTCCTCTCTGTGGCTGCTGGTTCTCTGTTCCTGTCACTCTGCGGCTTTCTGCCCTGGGCCCTCAGGATCCCTCCTATAAGTCTATGACAGGCAGAAGCTGCCCTGGGATTCCTGCCTCCAATCTGTTACTGCTATTTTGTGTCTGAGGCCCTCAAGATCTCCCTGGTAGCCTCCTGCTTCTGTAACTGTTACTTTGTGTCTCTAAGCCCCTAGGATGCCTACTTTATTCTCTAGGTGCTGACATCGCTGCTTCAGATCTGTAACTGTTACTTTCTGTCACAGACCCTCTTCCGACTGCTACTTTCAAGTCCCCCCCTCATATCTCTAGATGTCAGAGTGTATCACTGTCCCCTCACTCTCCAATGGTCACTTTACCTTGCTGTCTGAGTGGGTCTTCTTTCCAGTGTGTACATTGTCCCATAGGAGGAATTTTGTGTTAAGTACCTCTCTACCACCAACCCTTACCCAAGGCCCCGCTAATACAATCAGGTACAGTTGGATTGAAATCTATTTACAAGCCTTAATACTTGAACATACTCGCTAATTTTTTTTCAAATATTCATTCTCTTCATGTTTAAAATACAAATAACAGATTTTGTGTAAAGGTTTAATAAATATACAGACCAAACTGCCATGTGGTGTGTACAGAATAAATTCCATCACTAAAACAAATGGTTGGCACTAAGAACCATGTTGTTGTTATTACCAGGCAACTTTCCAGTGTGTTTAATTCTCTTGCAATCTGAACAGCCTTTTGGAGCACTGGCCTCTAAGAGTTCAGTCTTAAGCTCCCATAGTAGGCATAACGGGATTTTAGTTGGTCCAAGACTCTAGCAATAAATAATGTGTCTTGCCCTACGGGTTTTTAGACATGCTGTAGAACTGGTGTTTCTGTCTGCTCAGAGATATTTGATCTGAAGATATGCATAGATTCTTATTTCTCTGCCTGTCCTCCTGTCTGAAGAACAGTTCTTTAGCAGAAGAGACAAAAGAAAAGAAGTCAAATATTTGCATCGTGGCCACACAGCAGGAGCTAGAGACGTGAGTAAGGATGGCGTGTGGCAAACTGATACTGTAGGCTTCTGATATCTTTTGCTATCCGTTCCCTCTGTTTTGAAAAAGTGATTATTTTGAATGTATATTTTGAGGGGAAAAAAGCATCAAAACTTGGATGATGGCACCTCACTATCCATGAAAGTTTCATTTCAAAGTAAAACTGAGCGTATCACACACTTCTGTGTGCTTGTAGCTGAAGAGAGATCAGTCTGTAAACAAGATGTCACGCCGGTGTGAGGTGTGAGAGTGCCTGTCTCTTCAAAGGCTGCAGATTGCAGCACTAAAGACGGCAGCCGACATCCAGACCTTCCTGGCACTGGGCTCCTGGACTGGTGGCTCCTGGGCACCTGGGCTCCTGGATTCCTGTCTCCTGGGCTCCTGCATCCATGGGTTCCTGGCCCTTGATATCTTGGACTTCCAATTTCAGCAAGCAGCACAGAGTCATAGCCTACTCTAGGTGCCTGACCAGATAACCCCATGACACCCCTGTTGTAGTTTAAACTGGAAATGCCGCCCCCATAAGCTCTTGTATTTGTCCAACTAGACCCTAGTTGGCAACACTGGTTTAGAAAGCTGTGGGACCTTTAGGAGGTAGTGTCTCCCTGGAGGAGGTGGCTTAATGAGAATGGCCTTGAGGTTTAAATCCTGTCCTAACTTCCTGTCTGCTCTCTGCTTCCTGTTTCACCAGCACCTGAGGAGGTAAAGAGTCCTGCCTGCACAGACCTGCCACCATGGAGCCAACTGTCAGCATGATGAGCTGTTGCTAGAGTTTTCCTGCCTTGCCCACAGTCAGGACAAATCTTTGTCACCCGCCAGTCCCACAGCCGCTCAGACCCAACCAAATAAACACAGACTTATTTTGCTTACAAACTGCATGGCCGTGGCAGGCTTCCTGCTAACTGTCCTTATCTTGCTAACTGTGCTTTTATCTTAAATTGATCCATTTCCATACATCTATACCTTGCCA